AGAAATTAGAGGGGAGGAAAGAGGAGTGCATCTTCAGAGACTGCAGTAAGAGGCAGAGCTCCTACCTGTAGCTGGTAGTGGATGCTTTTCTGTTTGAGTTTGGTGGCCCGGTATCCCTGGCAACCGTAGTCCCAGCCAGTGAACACCATCTTGCTGTAACTGCCGGCAGCGCCACTGCCTGTTGCCACGGCAATTCGAAGTGCGCTCCCCATGCTGTATAAGGGACCAATCGGAGTGGGGTGGGGGGGGGGGGGTCAGTGAGTCATTAGGGTTAATTCGCTTCCAGAATGGTTATGTCCATTCTATCCATTTTATTTCTATGCAGATGGAAGCGTAGGGCATTCCAGAAGGTACCGTGCGATGATGCAGATGAGACAGAAGGCGAAGTAGAAGACAGAGGTGAGGAGGTAGGCCAGGGGCAGGTTGTAGTGGAAGCCACTGCTCTCTGCCACGGTGTTGTTATAGTAACCATAGAACATGTAGGAGTACTCCATGAAACCCTTGGAGAGGGAGAGAGGTGGAGGGTGTGAAGTGGTGAGAGTGTAGCCTACTAGATTAGAAGCGTACTAATCTTAAAGTGCACAAAATGACACAAACCCACAAGCAGACACAGACTGTACATGTTATACACAGACAGAAAGACAAGTGTGTGAAAGGCCAAGGCCACTTAAAACAGATCAGCATTGTTTTGCAAACTGAACTTCAGAGAAGTGTTGTTCTCTGTGCTGTATTCAGTATATCTATAACCAGGACTAGATTACACATGTTGTGTTTTCTCACCGTTCCAGAGAGTAAGTCCAGGAAATACTGGTAGAACACCACCAGACCTTGAAGATTTGGATCATAGACCCTACACGCCTCTGGACCTGAGACACACACACAGTTGTTTGAAGATACTCCAAGGTCACGTTTGATCAAGTTTCCCACCGCAGCCTGGGCACAGAGTACCTGAGTTCTATAACTTGCTACTTTGTGAGGGCCTCCATTCTCAAACCCCTGAGAGAATACCAGTAACAACTGCTGCAATATTTTCAGTTTCAATCACTCAATTAAATCAAAACCCCATCCTCTAAGGCAGATATGTTGCTATGATACTGTTACAGGGAACAGTGAGAAGACATTGTTTTATATTAGAGACCGACAGAATAATGTAAATAGACTGGACTGGAATGGAGATTGTGAATGTCACTCCAATGCCATCACCCTTTAACCAATCATAGGCCTGGTTTGAAAATGCATCCTCCAGTGCTGGCCTTACCAGTGCTGTCCACTGTCATGTTACTGTTGCTGGTGGATCTGAACACGATACTGGGGATGAAGATGAACCCAGCGATCAGCAAGAATGACAGGAAGTTGAGCACCACCAGGAAGCGCAGGAACATGAAGTAGGACTGGACACCACCGCCAAAGTGGCCTACAAAGACAGGGGCCACAGGGCCATGTTGTGAATGTGAAGGCAACATCATTGACAACGACAGTAGCCCTGTAATGTTATTAATATTTTTCAGAATTAATAAAAGAAAAATAAAAAAAAGTATATAAAGGGTGATATTGGGATGCAATCTCAAAATGTAATACATTTAAACTCTATATGTGACATGATACAGGTGTCTTCTTTTTTTAAGACCATAACCATGTGTGTGAGGTGTATGCTTTTGTTTCAAAGTCGATTTGTTTGACTACCATGAAACATGTGTGACCCTGATTTAGCCCACTGTGTGGAACCGAGACCTTTTAGATATTGCTGAAAGCCTAGAGGAAAACTTAATCTATATGTGAGGTGAGTGTGTATGCATTAACAAATGCATATAGTTAAGTTCTGTATATGTCACATACATACAGCCCAGGATATAGATGTGTATGTAGTTCATATTGCATTGATTTAACCATTGCCTGATTTGATTGAGTGACAGTGTGATTGAATCTGTCACCTCCTATCTTATGCAGAGCCTTTCTCCACAGAGCTATGTAGGACATGGCTCCCCCTGCATCTGCTCTGAACCTGCTCAGGGACTTGGCCTTGCTCCGTTTCCACGACTGCCAGTTAGTCACCACAGGCACACGCATCTGCTGCACCTCCCTGGAAGGGAGAGCAGGGGGGAGGAAGAGAAAGAGGAAGTATTTTGAGAGAGAAGAGAAGCGAAGTGAGGGAGAGAGTGTACAATACATTTGCTCATTATAGCATAGTAAGTTTGCCAGCTTCAGGACAACAACAAAGGAATTGCACAGAGGCAGAGACGCTAGTGACCACTATGACCACTGAGGTCCCATACCGTATCGCTCTCTTCAGGCGCATGGGCATAGGCCGCTCTCTGAGGTCCTTAGGGGGTCCCGAGTCACCCTCCTCTCCCCCCTCTGAGGGGGGAGAACCCCAGTTGAACTGAGGGCCATTCTGATTGGACACTACCGACTTACTCCGTAACCTCACCGACTGCTGGGCACCATGGTAACCGTGGGCTTGGAGAGGGCAGAGGAGGGCAAGGATATATACAGAGAAAAATTATGAGTCAGTCCAAAGAGTCAATGTAGTTGATTGGTTGTAGTTTTGGGAGAGTTGCAATCTGTTGGTGCATTATACTTGTGTGGTACACATAATTCAAGCATATTTTAAAGTATACATTCTTGGAAAATCTCCCTTTACCATGTAATAGCATATTTTGTATAGTACAAAACAAGTAATCTTAGGTGACCAGGAAGCAAATCACTGAACACAAAGAACACCTGTACCGATGAGACCTAACATACCACACCTACAAAACAGTAGTCACACAGCTTACCTATAGTGGAGCTCTGTCTTTGTAGCTCACTGAACTCCATGAGACAATCAGAGAGGATTCCACCAACACTTCAGAAACACTACAATCAAACAACCAGTCCTCCGTATCTCACTGCTGATTACAATGCTAATACATAGTTAATCCAGCATACAGGGCTAGCTCTTTTATAAGGTAGTAGATATCCAGGAATCACTCCCCCTCAGACTTTGCTCCATGCAAATAACCATCTCTGCCACTGGTACTTCCTTGTACGTTTAACCCATTTACTCCCGGTAGACCGTTAGGTTCCACTCCGCTTATGTCAAACAGAACACGACAAGCTGGGGTGTTACAAGACATTTGATGACTGGTTACAGGGAAGACCCATTACTTAATCATGTATGAGTGTTTACTGTATGTGATTCAGTTCATAAACCTGTCTGTGCACTGATGCGACATGTTGTTAGGTAACCATAGAGGCAAGCCAGTGAACAGTGGGATTTGTGTGTTTGTGGCTGTGCGTGTGAGCATGTGTAAGGGGATAGGGGAACGTTGACCATTTTCCTATAGTAAGTAAAGCCCATAGAATGAACCATGTCAGATCAGAAATGGCAAGAGAAATGTACACTAATAAAAAAAACTACAGCCAACATCCATGAACAAAACATCAATAAGGAACAAGACTTTAGACGTGTTGAATCGCTGAGACATGTATTCCGTTGGTAACACTGTGAACTGTTACAAGGCAGGGAGAGTTACAATCATCATAGTATCAAGGTGAAACCAATTAGAAACAAACAAAATACACAAGAAAACAAAATATTGCATGTGATAGAGAGAGAGAAAGATGGAGAAGCAACCATCAAGGAATGTTTTCTATACTGGTCATGTATTGAAATGAGTTGGCTGATAAAAAACACAAGGGAGTTGTTTCTTCGGGGCTAGGGTTTTGGCACAAGGAAAAGGAGGGAGGGTTTGACTGAAACAGTGGGAACAATGGAGGCTATATCAGATTGTGGTAAACAATCATAATAAAAATGCTTCCATGCTAACTTGTAAATTAAATTACAATAAATATAATTCCAAATAACTTTTTTTATTCTACTGTCAGCACAATATATATTTTTTAAATTATATAGTAATACCATTACATTTATAATAAGATGGCAGTCAAACATTTTGGCAGTAACTGAGGACTGACCGGTAAGGTAGTAGCTTGGTCTACAACCTTACCTTAGCAGTCAGTCCTCAGTCACTGCCAAAATAGACTGACTGTGGGAACTTCTTTCCTTATATAGTGCACTACTTTTGGCCCAGGTCTGACCAAAAGTAGTGTACTGTATGGGGAATAGCCGGGTGTCATTTGAGAACTAGCATGTGACACACTGACAACAATTAAGAACAATAAATAAATAAATATTCACTATACAGTATAGAATTACATCTCTAATCAAATAATCTCTGACACCCAGAACTCAATTCTCGCATAATTGCATCAGATGCTCAATTTATGTTACGTGCATCTGTCCACAAGAGATTACTAATCAAATAACTAAATAATGACTATGGAATGCAGGACAGATCATTTTTGTAAAGAAGAAGAGATAAGATAAGAGTAAAATGCTCATTTACAGGCCAAGTCAAATCAAAAGAGAACATTTCAGAAGATCACCCAAAACAACATTTTAAATAATGCTGAAAAATACATTCAGATTCAAATCAACATAGCAAATGCCTCAAGTTATTTTCATGTATTTTTCTAAACCACATAATTCCATTATGAAATCTGCACTGGTCCTTTTGGTTCCAGTAGCCCCTCCTCGACACAGTGAATGTTATTTCAAGTTTCATGGCATTCCTCTGAGAATAAATCACTGAGGATGGTTCCACTTAATAATGACAGAGCATTTGTTTTCCTCTCAACTTGGAGCTAAGGGAGAAATTATAATCTTCTTACCATAATACAAAACAACACAGAACATAATAAGAATGTTGAGGATAAGAGAACATGTACAACTGCCACATTCATTATGAATGGATCCTCTATATATTTTTTTATTTAACCTTTATTTAACTAGGCAAGTCAGTTAAGAACAAATTCTTATTTACAATGAAGGCCTACACCGGCCAAACCCGGACGACGCTGGGCCAATTGTGCGCCGCCCTATGGGACTCCCAATCACGGCCGGTTGTGATACAGCCTGGAATCGAACCAGGGGGTCTGTAGTGACACCTCAAGCACTGAGATGCAGTAACTTAGACCGCTGCGCCACTTGGGAGTGATATGCGTTTTAAAACTAGACAAGTATAACTCAGTATGTGCTCATGGTCATCCAAAGTTACGTTTTCTGCACTATTCTATAATAACGTATCATAGGAACAACCTGATCAATGAAAACGTGAAAATATAAAGAAGCGGAAAGTCTTGTTGCCCCGGAAAAATAATATATTGTTGCTCTGGTCATGACTTGAGATAAATGCCCGTAACTTGTATTTAACTTTGAGTAAATCGTGCATTGATATCAATGGGATTGGAGATTTAGGCAAAAGTACAGACTCCGAGTAACATACTTAGATCCCAGTTCAAATTCAGTCCTTGCTCTATGAATGGATTCAAGTGACGTGCCGATGTGGCTTTACAGTACTTTCTATTCTGTTTCAAGACAGCATCTTGAACCTACAGCCTTAGAACATCCAATGTTGTGTCCTCTAAACTAATTTAAGTATATTTATTATGAAAATTGGCTTTGTGTTTTGAAATAGTCACACACATATATACATAAGCACAAGTGAAGTAGCTGAATAATCTACATTCCCCCTGAACTTTTTTGCCACTCACGCATCAGAAATGACATTCATTAAGCTCAAACATTTTCACCCAATTATACCTGTATGTATACGTGGTTTATAATATAATATCGACATGGCAACTGTTACTGGGTTACAACAATGTTCATAAGGATTCACTGTATTCAGCTAACAGTCCAATGATGTCTCCTGGATAGGAATCCTACAACTTAATCTACTCTACCTCCCAACTCCAAATCAAACCCTAGTAGGGTCTAGGGGTCAGTTCGGGATTGAACATAACTCTTCTCTACCAGGTGAGACATCACTGGACCTAACTGACAAAAGTGACCCATACAGATCAGTGACAGACAGTGCATTGTGGGAATTGTAGTTCTTTAGTAAACTAATACTCCCCATACAGGACATCCTCCCATCTCCCCCCATCAATCCATTCTCACTCTGTCTTCTCTCTCACGTCCTCTTGCTTCACCTCTTTCTTCTCCCCCTCAATTTTCTCCTCCTTTTCACTCTTCTTTCCCTCCCTCTTTCCTCCCTTCATCAGCCTCCCGAACAGAATGCAGGCCAGGGCGATGATGTGGATGATGAAGTAGATGGAGGTCCAGTAGTGGACGGTGTCGCTGGCCTTCAGCAGGACGAAGCCCATACACATGTAGTCATAGGCCCTCATCTTGAGGAACCAGTGGACCCAGTCGAAGGCACTCTGGCCCCGGGGCCCCAGCTTGGCCCTGACCGACGACTCCATGGCCGACTCAGCCGCAATGCACAGGGGGATGGTGAGGAAAGACAGGTAGTAGCCAGCATGAAGCCCGTGCCAGTATGCACTGATGAACATGGTCCATCCAGCCCTGAGAGAGAGAGAGAGAGAGAGAGAGAGAGAGAGAGAGAGAGAGAGAGAGAGAGAGAGAGAGAGAGAGAGAGAGAGAGAGGTAGTACTGTGAAACATGCATCAAATGACATTCAGGGGACATCTTATCTGGCAGTTACAAATACATTGAAAGTTGACTGTAGTTTTGTAGTTTTTAACAGACTGCTATGAGACAGTTTATTTACACAATACACATGCCTTCTCTAGTGAACCTGAATAGGGCCCTTACTTGAGTGCGTAAGCCTTGAAGGGGGAGTTGGGGTAGATGTAGTGATGCAGCCACCACTGCACAGTCATATTCCAGTAGCGCATCCCGTGGCGGACCTTCACACAGAAGTCAGTGTTGTATGGGTCAATGTTCTGGATGGCTTTGAAGTCGTACAAAACCGGACTGTCAGGGTCAGGGCTAGAGAGACAGAAAAATCAAAACCAAGATTAGCAGGTAGCCTAGCGGTTAAGTGCATTGGGCCTGTAACTGAAAGGTTGCTGGTTCGAACCCCCGAGCTGACTAGGTGAAAAATCTGTCAATGTGCCCTTGAGCAAGGCACTTAACCCTAATTGCTCCTGTAAGTCGCACTGGATAAGAGCGTCTGCTAAATGACTAAAATGTAATTAAACACAAATAATTATGAATTAATGTACTTTACTGTTTTCCCCAACTGGACTGAATATCATGTGTGAGACTTGCCTGTAGTTGACAGTGGGACCTCCTCCCGGCTTGGAGAGCGCCCCCTCTGGGTAACAGCCCAGTCCTGCGCTGATGCAACCAGCCTCTGCCCCACACCATGCAGCGTAGAACCGCATCCGGAACACAAAGAACACCACCGTCATGTAGAACAACCTGGAGGGGGGGATAGAGAGAGAGAGAGAGAGACCTCATTAATATATAACTACAAGTGAAAGGCTGTTGGTCTGCAATACTAAACAGAGAGAGTTCTGTCTCCATTCTGTTTCACTGGAATTGGCGCTTGTCCTTAGATTGTTTTCAGTCATCTGGGAAATCATTCAGAGACATTTTGCCCTCTATTATTTTATGGTTTAAAATCCCGTAGCTCTTTGGAGAGAGAAAGACAGCGGTGAATGAATTCACAATTTTGTTATGCCAACTCAAAAGAAAGAAATACATGAAAAATAAATCAACCTTTTTTGATGCAAACAACTATATATTTTTTTCCCAAAATCAGGAGTGCTGTTTTGCTACCTGAAGAAGAAGTGATGTTCCAGGAACTCTTCAGTGAGGACGTATGCCAGGGGGAAGTACGCGTTGGCGGTCAGGAACAGAGCTCCGTAGACGGGCACCAACCTCAGCCTCAGCATGCAGGGTACCCGGCCAGGAAGGTCCAGGGAGCTGGGCTGCCTCAGCCAGTCCACATAGGTTTGGAACCGGAAGAACGGGCCTTTAGGGAGATGCAGGGATAAAATGAAGGGATGAAGAGAGAGCATTGAGGGAGAAGTGGTAGGATAGACAAAGGGGATGGTATGAGTTAGAAAACATAATGAGGAGAGAGAGGGATCATTGGAGGACAAAAAAGGGATAGATTGTAAGGAGGAGGAGTGTTATTGGGTGATGGACGAAGGGGATGAGTAAAAAAAGGAGGGAGAGTTACAGGAAGGTTGTGTAGCGGAAGAGAAAACGTAAGCAGACTCACACAATATTTTACTAGTGGCAGATAGAAAGAAAGACAGAGAGAAACAACAACAGTTAAAATGGGTGCAAAAGCAAATTAGTGGCAAATCATACTAAATACATGATACATTTACACCACACACATACACACTGAAGTCATTCATCTGTCTCCATATCAAAAAGAGATCCAGAGAAATGGGTGAACTGTGGATATGTTGACAGTAGCCCTGTATGATGAAACAAACTAGGGAATGGGGCTAGACAGCCTTACCTGTCATTATACCCACATAGCAGTAGCTATAGGCTATCATATCATAGAGGGAGGGCTCTTGGGACAGTCCACCAACCACAGGAGACTTGGAGAATGAGCTCACTTCCTGTTTCTTCTCTATGTGAAAACTCTGCACCTCATTGGCCAGACTGACCATCTGAATGAAAACAAGTGGGTTGTTACTGTAAACAACATCATGATGCATAATGCCATTGCATTTCAGTAATCGTGTATGTGTGTGTCCTCCATCTCTTCCTGTAGATGTACCTTCAGAGTGAGGAGTAGCTGGATGGCGTTGGCGAAGGGTGTTGGCGGCGGCAGGCCGAACCATGTGACCAGTCTGAAGAAGAGGAGGTAGAGGAAGGTCCAGGCCAGAGAAAGAGCTGGGGCACTCCTGAGGAAGGTAAACAGGGGAGTGGGTGAGAGAGAGAAGTTCCTGACTGTCACACTAAATAGTGACACAACATTAAGACACAGGAGTGTTCTACGGTGTCTGTTGATATATAATTTGTATATTTTGAATAATGTCTCTTAGGGCTGGGAATTGTCAGGGACCTCACGATAAGATATTATCACGATACTTTGGTGCCGATACAATATGTATTGCGATTCGATACTGTGATTTTATTGCGATTGGATGTTCCAAACATACTGCTCACCATATGTTTGCTGCAAAGGGACAAGAGAGAGCCATGAGAAATAAAAGTGCTGAAAACAAATTGGCTCCGTATTTAAAAAGAAGATGGAGAACAAGCTATGAAGGAAAAACACTGGGGTTTTGGTGCAGGTACAGCCAACTAGCGCAAAAATAATATTGCGATATTGTCAAAACGATACGATATATCGTCAAAAATAATATCTCGGTATGTAACTGTATCGATTTTTCCCCCCATCACTAATGTCTCTCACCGCCAGCTGCTCTTGATGATGATCCATGTTCCGAGCACCGTCACCAGTGAGTGGAGCGCATGGACCTGACAGGTTGCTATGGTGATCGAGAGGCCCAAGAGCAACGCTACCCCCTGCTTCACTGGAGGACCTACAGCAACAATAACACCCACACACAACACTTACAATAAACCTTGAGAGCAGAGCAGATAGGCCTATTCTACATCATGTGTTAACATTTTTGTAGACATGTTATCGTGACTGCAACTGCCTTTTCATTCTTCTGTCCTGCTTGTTACCAGAATGTCTTGAAAAGAAAAAATCCAGAGAAAGCATTGTGTTTTTCAGTGTTAATCTATTCTAGGAGATACCGTGTAGGTTAGGTGAATTTCTTTGACGGCCCAGATAGAATACTCACTCAGGTACCGGAATAGGAACCCGATGGGGATGGAAGCAGCGAGAATTCCCAAGTAGACCAGCTCATCAGGAGACATTCCTCTGCACGCACACACAGTTGCACAAAGGTACACAACACACACACACACGGTATGATCATGGGAACTTAAATAGGCCCTCTGTGTTGCATGGAAAAATGCTATGAGGAATTTGACTGCAGTTTGCATACAGCACCACTATGAAAGTGATAGAGCCTGTGATTGACAAAGTAATGTATGTTCTATTCCACGTTGCTATGCATGTTGGTCCCTCGATACACAAATAGTGGTACAAGCTAGTAATCAGTATAATAAATAGTTAATATCATACACATGCCTAAACAGCCAGAACATCATGAGCTCATTTTTACACCACTGATAAGAGCTAGTGTGTGGGCTGAATTAGAGCTCGCCTGATCATGCCATGGATGGAGTAATCACAGAATTTCAACATACGCGTTACAAATGTTAGCACCACGCTAAGCTAGTTAGCTACTGCAGCCTTGCGTGACACCAGAGCAAGTACTGCAGTGACAGAAGACAGGGGCCATATTCGTTCTATTGGAACTTATATAGGCGATAAGTTACTCATTTTAGAAACGCAAAAATGTGGCTAGCTATCCCCAGGACCACAAGCTAATTTGCTAGCAGCCAACGTTAGCTCTTAGCTCAATGATTGTATTCCCAGTAGCTGTACATCTGTGTTCAAAGGATGAAGCTAAACTTCTAGAGTAAACATATACTCACGTTTAAAATCAGGCCGACATTCAATATAGTTAAAAATCCCTGGAACAAATCTTGAATCTTATGTCAGCACTGATGATTTGGTAAATCCCACTTCCTACTACCGCAACAACGCGTCATTCACAACCAAAACCCCGCCCATGGACACTGCCCAGTTCCATAAATGAGGCAGTACATTCCAAGAAGAACCAATCATTTTGGTTGAAATGGTTTGGAATGTTATATTAATACAGCGAACCCCATTGATTTTTGAGGAATATTACTTAATGTCTCATAAGCTTAGTTCCACTGTCGTAACCAATGATATAGTATACATTGAACAAAAATGTAAACACAACATGTGAGCAGAGTGCCTCATGGTGGCAGAGTGCCCCATGGTGGCCCATACCATAACCCCATGGTGGGGTTATGGTATGGGCAGGCATAAGCTACGGACAACGAACACAATTGCATTTTATCAATGGCAATTTGAATGCACAGAGATACTGTGACGAGATCCTGAGGCCCATTGTCGTGCCATTCATCCACCGCCATGACCTCACGTTTCAGCATAATGCACAGCCCCATGTCGCAAGGATCTGTACACAATTCTTGGAAGCTGAAAATGTCCCAGTTCTTTCTTGGCCTGCATACTCACCAGACATGTCACCCATTGAGCATGTTTGGGATGCTCTGGATCGATGTGTACGACAGCGTGTACCAGATCCCGCCAATATCCAGCATCTTCTTCTTCAGTGGGGTTTATCGGTGGTTGGCATTCAACGTTATGGTACATTACCGCCACCTACTGTACTGGAGTGTGGGCCAGAGACAGGGAGAATCTAAATCCTACCTACCAGTCCCGTTGCTCTTAAAAAAGATAACAAAATATTTAAGACTATATCTAATGACATTCTACTCAATATACTCTTTAAACTAATTTCCTGTATCCCCTTCTCCTTCATACTAGATCTCATCCTCTCTCTTTCCCTCTGATACTGCCCACACTGTAGCAATACATGCTCCACGGTCTCTGTTTCCTGACAATAATCACACTTTCCTGTTGGATGCTTTCCTATCACATTTAATGTCTTATTCAACTGGCTGTGTCCCACCCTTAATCTTGTAAAAATAGCCTCCTCTCTTCTGTCCCTTCCTGCCGTCCTCCCCGACTTTCCTCTGTACTTGAAATAAATGCCTTCCCGTATTATCTCTATTCCACTGCTCCTGCCATCTCTGCACCATCACTGTATATATCAGTCTTTTTGCCTCTGCCTTGCTCATTGAAACTTCAACTTCAACATCCCCACTACTAAGTGCTTGTTTAACCAGTACATCTACTGCCTCGTTCCCCTCCACCCCCACGTGGGCTGGGACCCAAGTAAATCTTATCTTTATACCCATTTGTCTAATCCTGCCATGGGTTTGTAGCACCTCATAAAGCAGGTCTTGTCTGCTATGTGAGCTAAAGAACTGGAGACTCATTAACACTGCACATGAATCAGAGCAAATAACTACTCTGTCTTGTTTGACTTCCTCCACCCACTGCAAGGCCAACAGTATGGCCATCAGCTCCCCTGTACAGTGAGGGAAAAAAGTATTTGATCTCCTGCTGATTTTGTACGTTTGCCCACTGACAAAGACATGATCAGTCTATAATTTTAATGGTAGGTTTATTTGAACAGTGAGAGACAGAATAACAACAACAAAATCCAGAAAAACGCATGTCAAAAATGTTATAAATTGATTTGCATTTGAATGAGGGAAATAAGTATTTGACCCCTCTGCAAAACATGACTTAGTACTTGGTGGCAAAACCCTTGTTGGCAATCACAGAGGTCAGACGTTTCTTGTAGTTGGCCACCAGGTTTGCACACATCTCAGGAGGGATTTTGTCCCACTCCTCTTTGCAGATCTTCTCCAAGTCATTAAAGTTTCGAGCCTGACATTTGGCAACTCAAACCTTCAGCTCCCTCCACAGATTTTCTATGGGATTAAGGTCTGGAGACTGGCTAGGCCACTCCAGGACCTTAATGTGCTCCTTCTTGAGCCACTCCTTTGTTGCCTTGGCTGTGTGTTTTGGGTCATTTTCATGCTGGAATACCCATCCACGACCCATTTTCAATGCCCTGGCTGAGGGAAGGAGGTTCTCACACAAGATTTGACGGTACATGGCCCCGTCCATCGTCCCTTTGATGCGGTGAAGTTGTCCTGTCCCCTTAGCAGAAAAACACCCCCAAAGCATAATGTTTCCACCTCCAAGTTTGACGGTGGGGATGGTGTTCTTGGGGTCATAGGCAGCATTCCTCCTCCTCCAAACACGGCGAGTAGAGTTGATTCCAAAGAGCTCAATTTTGGTCTCATCTGACCACAACACTTTCACCCAGTTCTCCTCTGAATCATTCAGATGTTCATTGGCAAACTTCAGACGGGCCTGTATATGTGCTTTCTTGGGCCTGTATATGTGCTTTCTTGAGCAGGGGGACCTTGCGGGCGCTGCAGGATTTCTGTCCTTCACGGCGTAGTGTGTTACCAATTGTTTTCTTGGTGACTATGGTCCCAGCTGCCTTGAGATCATTGACAAGATCCTCCCGTGTAGTTCTGGGCTGATTTCTTACCGTTCTCATGATCATTGCAACTCCACGAGGTGAGAACTTGCATGGAGCCCCAGGCCGAGGGAGATTGACAGTTATTTTGTGTTTCTTCCATTTGTGAATAATCGCACCAACTGTTGTCACCTTCTCACCAAGCTGCTTGGCGATGGTCTTGTAGCCCATTCCAGCCTTGTGTAGGTCTACAATCTTGTCCCTGACATCCTTGGAGAGCTCTTTGGTCTTGGCCATGGTGGAGAGTTTGTAATCTGATTGATTGATTGCTTCTGTGGACAGGTGTCTTTTATACAGGTAACAAGCTGAGATTAGGAGCACTCCCTTTAAGAGTGTGCTCCTAATCTCAGGTTGTTACCTGTATAAAAGACACCTGGGAGCCAGCAATCTTTCTGATTGAGAGGGGGTCAAATACTTATTTCCCTCATTAAAATGCAAATCAAGTTATAAAATTTTTGACATGCGTTTTTCTGGATTTTGTTGTTGTTATTCTGTCTCTCACTGTTCAAATAAACTTACCATTAAAATTATAGACTGATCATTTCTTTGTCAGTGGGCAAACGTACAAAATCAGCAGGGGATCAAATACTTTTTTCCCTCACTGTATATACAGCCAGATGATCTGTAATACGTTTCCTGACTTCCACCCCACATTCCTGCACTACAAATGCTGACCCAGTACGTCCTGTCCTTGGATCTTTTGAACCATCTGTGTAAATGGCCACAAAATCCTGATACACAGTATCCAGATGTCTCTTAAACAAATCAGATGGATCAACACTCTCCCTATCTTTCTGTAGTCTCTCCAACACTTCTAGATCAACTACTAGAGGCGGGAGTAGCCATGGTGGATTTACAGAAATAGCTACCGTTGGACTAAACTCCCTTCCATACAGTCCCATCTCCTTCGCCTGGGTATTACCCAACCACCCAAAGCTCGTGTTCTGTCTTCGCTCATGTTCCCAGCATGCCTGTTAAATCCCTTTCGCAGGATGAGACACCCCATGTCCTTGTAGGTTGACCCAATAATTCATTTCCAGCTGCTGTCTCCTAATCTGCAATGGCATATCCCCCATCTCCACCTGTAATGCAGCCACTGGGGACGTCCGAAACGTCCCACTACATATTCTGAGTCCTTGCCCCTGTATGACATCTAGTCTTTCCAATGAGGTCCGGGCTGCCGAACCATATGCTATACTGCCATAGTTTATTACAGATCGGATCAATGCAACATACATGGTCTTCAATGAGGAACGCCCTTCACCGTCAGACAGCGCATCACATTTAGCACTTTCTTACACTTTCCCACCACTCTCTCAATGTGTTCTGCCCAGGTCAGTCTAGTGTCAAAGTATTCCCCAAGGAACCTGAAGGCCCCCACCCTCTCCAAGTTTCTCCCATATAACCTCAAGCATACCTAATCTCCCACCTTCCTCCTGGTAAAGAACACTGTTTGAGTTTTCTCTACAGAGAACCTGAATCTCCACATTAATGCCCACTGCTCTACCTCATCTGACTATGTATGGCACATTTCTTCCCCTCTTCCATAATGCCCCATCATCTGCAAATAACGACCTCCCTATATCCGGCTGTACCTGAGAGTACAAGCTATAAAACTGCTAAATAGTTAACCAATAGCTACAGATTATCTGCATTGACCCTTTTTTTCCCTCTTGACGGGTCACCGTTCATCTATCCCGTTGCCTAGTCACTTACCATCTATGTCAATTCCCTAGTACCCCTGCACATGGACACGGTACCCTGTGTCTCTAGTCAAGTTATGGTTAGTCAGTGTGTTATTGTTTATTCCTAGTGTTATTTTTCAGCTATTTCTCTGCATTGTTGGGAAGGGCCCATAAGTAAGCAGTTCACAGTTAGTCTACACCTGTTTACAAAGCATGTGACAAATAAAATTAGACTAGTTGTCACTCCAATATCCAACGCAGAGCAAAGGACCGAATTACATTATTCCCATAAAATGTCAAACATCTAAACTCAGCAAAAAAAGAAACGCCCTCTCACTGTCAACTGCGTTAATTTTCAACAAACTTAACATGTGTAAATATTTGTATGAACATAACATGATTCAACAACTGAAACATAAACTGAACAAGTTCCACAGACATGTGACTAACAGAAATTGAATAATGTGTCCCTGAACAAAGGGGGGGGGGGGGGGGGGGTCAAAATCAAAAGTAACAGTCAGTATCTGGTATGGCCACCAGCTGCATTAAGTACTGCAGTGCATCACCTCCTCATGGACTGCACCAGATTTGCCAGTTCTTGCTGTGAGATGTTACCCCACTCTTCCACCAAGGCACCTGCAAGTTCTCTGACATTTCTGGGGGGAATGGCCCTAGCCCTCACCCTCCGATCCAACAGGTCCCAGACATGCTCAATGGGATTGAGATCCGGGCTGTTCACTGGCCATGGCAGAACACTGACATTCCTGGCTTGCAGGAAATCACACACAGAACGAGCAGTATGGCTGGTGGCATTGTCATGCTGGAGTGTCATGTCAGGATGAGCCTGCAGGAAGGGTACCACATGAGGGAGGATGTCTTCCCTGTAACGCACAGCGTTGAGATTGCCTGCAATGACCACAAGCGCAGTCCGATCATGCTGTGACACACCGCCCCAGACCATGACAGACCCTCCACCTCAATCCCGCTCCAGAGTACAGGCCTCGGCGTAACGCTCATTCCTTGGACGATAAACGCAAAACCGACCATCACCCGATTAGATAAAACCCCGACTCGTCAGTGAAGAGCACTTTTTGCCAGTCCTGTCTGGTCCAGCGATGGTGGGTTTGTGCCCATAGGCGACATCTGGTGAGGACCTGCCTTACAACAGGCCTACAAGCCCTCAGTCCAGCCTCTCTCAGCCTATTGCGGACAGTCTGAGCATTCCTGGTGTAACTCGGGCAGTTGCCATTCTGTACCTGTCCTGCAGGTGTGATGTTCGGATGTACCGATCCTGTGCAGGTGGTTACGTGGTCTGCCACTGCAAGGACGATCAGCTGTCCGTCCTGTCTCAGGCATCCCACAGTACGGACATTGCAATTTATTGCCCTGGCCACATCCTGCAGTCCTCATGCCTGCTTGCAGCTTGCCTAAGGCACATTCACATAGATGAGCAGGGACCCTGGGCATCTTTTTTTTGGGTATCAGTCAGTAGAAAGGCCTCTTTAGTGTCCTTAAGTTTTCATAACTGACCTTAATTGCCTATGGTATGGTGCATGTTCATTAATTGTTTATGTTCATTCAACAAGCATGGGAAACAGTGTTTAAACCCTTTACAATGAAGATCTGTGACGTTATTTTGATTTTTTAAAAATTCTATTTGCAGAGGCTGTAAAACTAGCGTCAGTTTCCACCACATATCAAGTAAAAATGACACTTCAATTTGTGGTCAAATAATTTTTATTATTATTGAAAAACAGGAAGTGTCAGACACGAACACCCCCAGTCAGCCTCCATTTTAATCCTCCTCTTCCTCATCAGCTCCTCCAGCACCACCCTGGCCCTTCTTGGCATTCTTTCTCTTGACACGGCCGGGGCGTCCACCACCGTATGGTGAACGCAGGGAGAAGTCAATGTGCTTCTGGCTGTCCAGGCGCACCACGAAGGAGGGGATGTTCACCACCTGCTTGCGCACACTGGAGGGAGAAAGGAGAGATGAATGAGTGAGTTCCCCCATTTCC